ATTAAATCTCGGCTCCGTTCGCCATGTGGAAGCTACCTGAGAAAAAGAAATGAATGGCTATTAGAGCAGCTATGAATCGGGATCAAAATCGTGAAAACACCCCCCTTCCAGTTCGATCAGGCGTAGGGAACAATTAAGGCAAACATCAGCATCAGAACGAACTGCGCACTCTGACGAGACTGCATGTGCAAAAATTCTGCCCTCCTCCTCCTCCGTCTACTGGGGCTGGGTATCTCCGTGAATATCTCTGGTGACATTATCTCCATAGATAGCCGATTCATTGCTGCTCTACGGGCCAATTCATTTCTTTTTCGTCTCTGTTTTGAGAGATAATAGAACAGAAGAGCTAAAGCTTTTTTTCCTTCGGTCGCCTCCAGCCGCCATGCTTTCTTCACCTCGAGTTTAATTGATGAGCATGCGCACTTAATATTTCTCAGGTAGCTTCCGCATGGCGAACGGAGCCGAGATTTAATGACTGTACCCCGCAGGGACGACGTGTGGGGAGGCGTGTGAGAGGCGGAGAGACTATTAAAAGATTAGGCGGTTTTTCTTTCATGTACGTCCGCCATATTTAGTCTCAGGATTTGTAAAACCTGGCTCAAATCATTGTGAATGCGGTCTGACATGCAAGATGATCTTGTGGGTTGTTTAGAACTGCAGTTTAAACCACAAGTACCCTGATATTCAGAGGACACAGTCACACTGGGAATTCACCTCTCTGTTATCAGAGTGCCTCTGCCAATATCCAGTGTCCTCTCAAACTCAGGGTGGCCACAAGTGCAGCATATGTAAATCTTATTATTATTATTATTATTATTATTATTATTATTTTGTAACAAACAATTGATGCAGATGCTTTTGATGGTCACTTGCATTGGTCACAGTTAAATAATGAAAAAAATAGTTCTGTTAGGCTAATGCCGTTACAAATATATTTTCAATAATAATGCAATAAAATTTTTTTCACCATCGGAAGTGCTTTAGGGACCGTTCACATGAAAAATCTATTTTCTAAAAATATATTGGTGGTATCTTGTGATCACGGTCTGTGCCCTTGACGAATGCGCAGTAGGAAGTTAGAAAGTAAATGGTGGTCGCAGTTGCTTTGAAAAATGTGTTGGTCAATTTTGTGCAACAACAAGCACTATCACTAGCCATATTACGCGTCTGTATGCTTGAGTCGTCACAACTAAACTGATGAACTCCGCAGCCGAGAATTAATTACAGCTTTAGAAGTAACTGGCTCGTGCTGCCAGTAATTACGCTGTGGGGTATTCAGGGCACAGACTGTGATCACAAGATACCACCAACAGATTTTTAGATTTTTAGAAAATAGATTTTTCATGTGAACGGTCCCTTAGACAGATAGGTCAGGAGATTATTCAACATACATGTAGATATGAAAATTAATGTGTTTTTTTGACAACATAATTTGATATTGTGGTTGAACTTTGTAAGATGATATAGCTAGTAAATCAAGAAAGATTTGTTATAATCTGTATAATGGGAGGTGTGAATTGTTGTAAAAGATGGGTAAGTACTGGTCAATTTTGTTCTACAAATTCATGTTGTTAAAATCAAGACTTAGACTTGGACACTTATTCCAGTCCAACAAAGATTCGTGGTAGGCAATGATCATATTAATTTCAGCTTACGTGCACACAGACAAAAACAATATTTTATTCCATAAAATTTGTGAAAGATGAAGTATAATATAGTATAATAGTATAATAGTATAATTTCCCTGATAGGATGAGTTATATGGAGTCTACTGAACAGTATATATGCACTGTATCAGCACTGTCTGACCAATCTCAACCTCAGTCTGAAATATCTTAGGGTGTATTCAGATTCGCATGTCCTGTTAGCTGGGTTGGTCCAACTCCTGTGGGATTCTCACTAAGTCCAACAAAGATTCGTGGCCATTCAGAATGAGAAGAGCTGAGTGCTACCTGGTCCACGGCCTAAATATGGCGGACCTAATGAAAGGAAGACCGCTTAATCCTGTAACGGTCTATCTGCCTCTTTCACGCCTCCCCACATGTCGTCCCTGCAGGGGCACAGTAATTAAATCTCGTCTCAATGCGACCGGACGAGGGACAACACCTAGGGAGGCCTGTTAGAGGTGCAGAGACCATTACAAGATTAAGCAGTCTTCCTTTCATGAAGGTCCGCCATATTTGGGCTGTGGACCAGCTAGCACTCGACTCTTCTCATTCTGAATGGCCCTTAGTGTCCATTGTCCAATTTGTTTTTTTAATTTATCAAAAAATGACATCAAAGTACTATGTCCATCAAATAATATTTGGGCCACTGTGTATTTTCAAATGTTACAGGTATCAATGCAACTTATATAGTGAACGTGGCCGAGTTATATATTGGTAATAGCAATTTTATTGGAATTTGATTTATTTAAAGACAACTTGAAATCAACTTGACATTTGGCGAAATTAGATTTTACAAAGTTTCTCCATGTGTAAAAAAAATTTTTGAAAAAAAAAATGTTTGAGTCAATCAATGGATATTTGTAAAAAGCTCAGAATAATAAATTTTGCAAGGATGGGAAAATAGATTTTAGGAGAGAAAAACATGATTTTTGCATGTCATTCTCAAACTACTCTTCTGGTTCTTAAAACAGTTTGACAATGGAGAAAAATCAAGATGCTGATGAAATGCAGATGGAATGCCCCTTCAAATGCTTTAATATCAACACAGTGTGTACAATTCTTTTGAAACCTCCTCTTTATTTGCTTTGAACTACAGGTATGTGGTCGAGAAGTAAACATCACGTAGACATGATTGGGCAGAATTTTCATCAGCAGCCTTATTATTATTATCATAACACTGATAAAGAAAGGGGATGCAGCTGGACTCCTTTCCAATTTCCAAATTCCCAATGTGCTGGCTTTTTTCCCTATTTTTCTGTTCTTTTGGCATCAGTTATTTCCTTATGGAGTTATCAGCACCAGCGTTCTGTAAGTTATTTAATCTCCGGAAACAGAGGCTGTCCTTGCTTGCAGTGATTTTTTTGCATTGTTAATTCCAGTGTACATAACCAATCTGACCCACCCCATCCCAAGGAAGAGTCCAAAGTTAAATTTGCATGTGCTTAAATTTATCAAGTTTGTAATGTAGTTACATGTGATACCCAGTACATAAATGCCGAGTGATTGTGAACTCACTAGTATAGAGGGTATAGATTTACATAAGGAAAAGCAACAGGCTGCCTTTTAGCAGTGAACATAGCATAAACATGTCAGTTAGGAGGAAAAGAACTCTATGGGGGTCAATGAAATACAAGTTCAGTAGAAGTTTTCATGGAAGAAGCACAGAGAAAGACAAGGTAAATACTTGTTTGGCTTATTCTGACAGGGGGATTTTCGAGTATTTTGTTAAATGTGGGGTCATGCTCCCTCTGTTATATCATTTTTGACCATGAAACTTTTCCCCTTATCTATCCTTACAAATTAACTTGAAGAAAGTTGATATGATGTGCTAATTAATGCTTATTTTAAAGTTTAAAACTACTTTTGTATGATAATATGTTCTTTTGGTAAGGAATTTTCTTAAGAGAAAAGCTGTCACTCGTGCACAAAAAAAATACCGTGGAGTGTCCCCCTCTTTATATATAGGTGTTTTATTGAGGTTTTTCATAATGAGTAACAGCAAAACAAAAAAATTTATAAAAGATTCAGATTAACATGTATCATGTGGGTGGGGAGGGGGGGCACTATCTGTTGAGTATTGTATGGTTTTCTGGATTTATATCTGATTTTCATGAGCTTTGTTAAAATGATTTTTCATCATTTATTTATGCAGTGAAGCCAGGGTTGACTAGAGCTAGCATAGAGGTTATAGGGGGCATTGTAACTATGCCATAGGTAACTTTGCCAACAGTGGCTGCTAGCTGTATGGCAATGTTTACCATACATATAGAAAGGCTTTCTTCATTTACATGTATGTTGGGTTGTTAAGTTAAAAATTGACATGTCCACTGATAGATATTCATTCCAAAGTGAAATTTCTGCAATATTTTCATTATTAAAAAAATAGTAATAATACTGATAAGAATGGGGGTTAAACTGCAAAACCTACAGTAACAAGTTTGATTCTTTGGGAGAAGAAAGACAAACATAGTAACAACAGAATAAAATACATTTATATTTTAATTGCATATTTTTTATTAACTTACAGTATTGGTGTTGGGAGGCAGGGTGAGCATAGAATGACCTCCTATGAATAGCATGAACTTATTTAGGTCACCACTATGTCACAGGAAATATAGGCCCTAGAGACATGAATCATTTTGCTATTCCAGAATATTTATTTTGGTGTCAGATAACCATGTCGCAAGAACTAGTCCTGGAGTAGGTAGACTGAATAGAATCTGAATATTGCATTTTAATCACTCTATTTTTTGACAGACCTCATTAACATCATAAAACACATTAACATAAGACTTAATGTCAGACTACCCAAATATTTATATGTACCAGGCAGTGGATAATGAATTATCGAGAGTTGTTTATAATTAACTTAATGTTCTCTACTAGTCTTGCCATTTCTGAGATTTATTACATAGTGTTTCATACACAATGAAAAAATTTCAAATAAAAAAGATTAGATTGAAAAAAGGCACTTGAGGGGGGTTGAGCAATGAAGAAACAAAACCAGTCCACATACTATGGATTGAGTTTACAGCCGAGTTTAAGACAGCATATAAGGAATTTATCATCGCTCAATTTTAATTTAAACTGGAAAAGAGTTATTATAAGCAATCATAAATTCAAGATAGCAAGAGTTCAACTTGAAATACCTTCATCATTTATTATTTCTGATTGAATTAAGTCTTAAAGTAAATAATGTGTTTATACTGGCCTGGTAATTTGACAAGCCCAGTGGGCACCTAGTAAGGTGAAGGAGATTCAAATAAATAACGCTGATAATATCAACTTTTACGTGAGGCTTGTGCACTGAATCATGTTATATTTTTCGTCTAGGCTTTAAAAGTTCCCTCAAGTCATGGCAGCAGCTTAGACAGCATGGAAGAACATGGAAAGAGAAAGGTAATGTTTACATCTTTTATAAATCATTTCACATTTTTTTTTTCATCTGCAAAAAGCCTTGTCTGGATACACCCTACTTCCTAAATTCCAGACTCATGTATACTATCACATCACTAATGTCCATAATTTAATTTAAAGTACATGCCTTTGTCAGCTTATGAGTAATTAAGTAAAACATTAGACTTGCAGCAATTTATAGGAAGACCTGCCCTGCATTAGATATACTGACTAATACATGTATGTATAGAATATCAGGCTTGATTTAGAGCAGTGACGATAATAGAAACAAATGTGCACCATTACAGAAATGTGACGAAAGCACAGAAGTACTTGTCTTGAATCCAATTGCTTGCATGACACATAGAGCGGCCTGCCTGCTCCCATTAAATACTTGAGTGTAACCTATAACTACCAGAACTATACTTGAGTGTTGCCCATTTCTTGAGATTTTATTTGATTTCTCAAGTGAGAAGAAGAGAAATATTGCTTGTTGCCAGGCCTTAGTTAATATGTGAGTATTTATTTTGCGATAAGCTAAGATGGTTTATGCATGTATGGATTATATATATATATATATATATATGTGCAGGTCTAAGGTATGCGTGCAGACTTTCGAAATATTTAATAGTGCTTGTGCCATTTAAAATTTTTTTAATGAATCTGTTAAACATTTAGAAAAAAATATTTGGGGGTTTCTGCCGAATGTACCTTAGGAATTCAGTAAAAAAATCATGAATTTTGGTTTTTGGTAGATTATGTTTTGGTCATTTTTATAAGTGCCACATACACTAGTACATTCTGGTTCTAAAGAACTCTTAGATTCCATGTGTATTGCATAACATACGGCAATGTCATACAAAAAATTATTGTATAGTCATTAAGAAATATCTTGAGTACTGTCAATATTTGTCTATTTGCAAAACTGCGAATGAACAGATAAATGAACAGATAAACATCTTTCAAGGTATTGCAGGAAGTGATGGACATATAAAACCTAACCAACTGGTATCTTTTAATGTGCAATGGAATTTTGTGAAGTTTCACACAACAACAATAAAATTCTTAGAATGAATCAATGCACATGTAAATAAATTAACCCACATATAGCTGCCATATAAAAAGTATAACTGATAGCTTTAAGTGAAATGGCTTTTGTAGGTTTGATTTCAATTTTACTGCTGTATATTGTATCTCTTTATGGGTTCATATTCAAGAAAAATTCACTGAATGATAAATGGACAGTCTGTTGGTCAGGTAAATGGTCATCTACTGGTCAGTGTGACCAGGAGACTTTCACTGAGCTTTTATCATTATGTAAGAACTACAGATGGAATTTTGGGTATGTGAAGTTTGTAAAGACGTGAAAGTAATTTTACTGTCTGGAAAATCTTTTGATCCATATTTCATTAACTGCCCCCCACCCTTTCAAAAAAAAGGAAAAAAATAATAACTGCAAACTTGAATGGTATCAGAATTGATTCTAAACTGAAAGACCAAAATCACAATTATTGAAAGAATAAATACGCTTAAGAGCTTAAAGAAGGTATCTCATCCTAGTGTGAAAATGGCACATTTTACATTGAGTAAAAAAGTTGCTACATTAATCTGAGAAAGACAATAATGTTAAAGAGAAGCATGTATTTCAAATTCTTAGAAAAAAGTTTTTAACTACTTCCTTATCGGTATCTCTTTTGATTGGTCTCCTTTTTTCAAATACCTTTGTAATTCACTACTACCTGTATATCTGACACAAAAAAATTACCTATAGCTCTTAGAACATTAGGGTATTTTAAACTGTGCAAAATAAATTCAAATCACAATAAATGTGCTTACTTCATAAGAAAATGATGAATGACTTTTTTATAAAGAAAATTTGCTGTCAATTTTCAAAGTGAAAGAAATTACACTGGCGGAAAATCATCTTTCCACGCAATTTTCAAGTTTTTACTACAGTCTCAAGCATTTAATCTTACCACAATTCCATAGAATTCGGACAAATTATAAAAGTTTGTGACATCCTGGTATTAGACAGTGGCAAAGAGATAATAGTTGGACCAAAAATCATACAACCTCCAGGCAGATAACCCATTTTTAAATCTCCAGAAGAAAGACAACTTTTACACTCCTACCACACCTAAATTGTATCTATTTTTGGATGGCAGTTTGGTAATTATCTATTGTTGGAAACGTGAGGCGGAAAGAAACATCCACCATGGGACATGTAAATGCAGTAAACAAGTATTGTTAAGGGATGTGCGCAAGTGACCAGTGGTATTAAATAACTAGCTTCTGATCAGAAACAGTTAACTTGATCTTATATTATTTACTGAATGGCATTGGTTTTGAAATAAAAGGCCAAGGTTTCAGCTGTTGAAATCATAAGGGCACAAGGAAGAATATGAGAAAATTGAACTGCCTGAAGACGACAACTCACACTAAGCACCTGGTGAGAAAATAGCTTTTTCATATTTTTGTTTGATTAAAAAAGTTTATGTGGGATGTTGCAATAGTCTGGGAGAGAGCAATGGACAGACAGCCAGCTATCCACCTGCTTACAGTGCATAGGGACAAGCCAGAAAAGCTGTAACCCACATCTTTTAGACATAAAATTCAGTTTTGAAAAGTTATTTCTTCTTTTTATTTCATACAGGCAACTGTGGCAAATGTTCATGTCGTGATAGTCGAGGCTACAAACTTGAAAATGGTTGATAAAAAAGGTAAGCCTACAAAAAAGAGAGAGAGAGAAAGAGAGAGAGGTATTTGATCTGTAGTGATACTGTATAATATATAGGGCAAGATAAGCAGTTCTAATTAAAAGTGATTGAGAAGATATCAGGTGCATTACTCTCATCTCATGAGGTCTCATGGCCCAATATATTGGAATTAAATATCATTGTGTACTTTCTAATCAAGTTAATATGTGACAGCCTTGCTTATCAGTTTTTGTGATTGGTTGCTTTTTACCACAGTCTTGAGAGAAATATGTTAATATACGCAATTTTAACAAAAATCATAATAATAATAAATTCTTTAGCGTTTTAATTAAGTATTTTTTTAATAGTGAGGCTCAAGGTAAAGGAGGGTTGAGATGATCAAGAAATACTATTTAAATGACAATCATTACAAGTAAATAGATAGGTACTTAGAAGAATAGATAGAGAGGAATCAATTAAAATTGGTAGCCAATTTAATCAGAAAGTATAGACAGGTGAATGAAATAAATTTTGACACCCGATTTTATTTTCTGTTCTAGGAAGCAATGACCCCTACTGCGTTCTAGGTCTAGTCCAACAGGGGTCCTCTAATCTTGACATAGATAAAGAACAGTGGGCACAGGGGTCCCCAAAGAATTCCCCACTTCCTTCTCGTAAACTAAAACAAAGGCAGCCCTCCTTGGAATGCAGTGATGCCTACAAGACACAAACTATCAAGGGCACCTTGTCACCCAGGTGGAATGAGGAATTCATACTGTAAGTTGGAAAAATTCAATAAAAAAAAAAAAAGAGAAAAAAATGTCATGGTGTGTGTGCAAAATTTGGCTTGTTTTGAACTTTGGGATTTTATGAAAATTGAAGCCTTCTCATGTATATCACTAACAAATTGCTGATTTTCTGCTTTAGAAGATCCTCATTAACTTCATCTTCAATCCAAAATTAATCCCTCCCCCAGTTGAAAATATATTTAACACTCATATAGACATGTACAAAACACTTTTCAAGATGTGCTTTTCAATACTCTGAAACAAATTTTTGGGCTTATATTAAGTTACAAGGTTACCATGGACCCTAGATGTCATTCTTTTATTGCCCTACCTCAAACTGTGGTCACCATTGTGTGCGTGCATTGTTGTGGTTAGCATTTTTCATCAGTGTTGAGGTCAACCATAATTACATGGATACCTCACCTAGCACCTAGAAACATAGTTATCCCTCTATTTACCAATGATCATTCTTTATGGAATTACAAACCTATTAATTAAACTGTTTTCAAGGTCAAATACCAGTTATACCATGAAACGTCAAAGCAACCCAGTTGACCTTGAGAGTACTTTGAAGGACAATATTTTTCTGGACAGTAGTAAATAGCAGCTTATTTATCAAGTAGAGTGGGGGGTTAAATTTCATTTCACTTCAATAACACTATCACAAATATGCTGAAAATGGTGTATGTATCAAAAGCAATAAAGAATAATTTAATTTCAGCCCAGTTCATAATTTGCCTAAAGAAGAACTTCATGTATATCTTTGGAATCATGATGGAGGTTGTCGCTGCTGCTCAAGTGAAGCACCATGTCATAAAAAACCTTCAGGATTCAAAAAGTGAGCATCTACTTTTTAGTTTTAATCTTTCAAATAACCATTGTAAGACGATAATTTCAGGCAACATTTTATTTCATAAATTAACGTTAAAGAAATATTTAGAATTTCAAGTGTGTGATTTTGCTTTTTTTTTCTTTTGTTTGTTTTTTGATTCACATTTTAAAACTTGGGAATCAAGCTGCCCAGATTTTGTAATATTGAGAAATAAGATTTGTATTATTATAAAATCATGTTTTCTTTCTTAGTTTCTTGAAGGCTATCAAGCACAATCTTGAAAACAGCCATCACTTTGATGATCTCATGGGTATGGTGGCAGTGCCACTCAAGGTATTTTATTTATTTTTCGAATTTGAAAAAAAAAATTATGACTGGATTTGAATTTTTTTACAGCATATTACTATATAATAATTTCAGAATGAGCATCTGATACCATGGCATTACCTATATTTATAGAATGTATATTATCTATAAAGAAAAAAAATTGCTGATGATATTAAAATGAGAATCTTGTAAAACTTTTCAATATTTCATTGAGAATTATCTTAAAATTGGCAACTGTTTCAGGATTTGAGCACAACTCCCATTGATAGGTGGTTTGACATGAAGAAGCATGGAAATTCACAGAATAACCAGCATGGCCGCCTTCGACTGCAGCTTAACCTTATTCCCACACAGGTAACGTCCTGAAACAACATAGCACACCCCATCAATTATCAGCCAGATTTAGGACAAAAATCTGGAGTCGTGTTGTGAATCAATAAAGTTATCAAGTAGGAAGGGGGCCATATACAGCATATCAAGTCCACTTATCTTGCTTTATTGTATAGACATGAATGACTTGGGTATCTCTGAAGGTGCTCTGTTAAGATCAGGAAGTAAACCAGGTTTATTTATCTGAAGAGCTATGCCCATAATATACATTAAACAGGTCTGTAATGTTGTAGGCCCCTAAATATAGTGAAAAAATGTGAGTGATAAATATCATCATAGCCCTCACATTTCTATTTTATTACACTGTTGTTGGATTTTGTTTGTTTGTTTGTTTGTTTGTTTACTCTGAACTCTCCTTTTGGTTTAATGGTGAGATTTACAAAGCTTGATACGTAAGTGACCAACACAAAATTTTATAAGATAAGACTTATTTTAGTGTATTTTTTCAGAGAGAAGATGACCAGTGCTCTTTAGAAGACTATTATGAGGTAGTGGAAAAAATGTACAATCATGCAGCTGAGTACAAGAATGAAGAAGACATAGTAGAACTCTCAGCAGCAACCAAGAAAATTTTAGAGAAGTTTGCAGATAGGAATAATATCTCTCGAATGACACAATGCCTAATGTAAGTCAGTTGTTTTATAGACAATATTTATTTCATTGTTTTTCAATTTGTTCGTGTTTCTTTTTTTTTGTCTATGATTGAAAACATCTCCATCTAACAGTCTTGTTGTCAACATATTTATATGTTGAAAAATGGTGCCCAAAGTGATATTTAAACAAAATAATTAAAAACCTTTCACAATGTCCCACAACAGTAATATTCTTTGGCACTTGACATGTTTAAATGTTTCATTATCGATAATAACTTCTTTTGATTGTAGAGAATTGGTATTATTTCTTGAGTGGACAGCGTCCAGTGAAAAGCCCAGTTTTACTGACCGCCAAATTTCTGGTGCCATGATCTCAATGGAACAAGCCTTGATTCAGCTTAGACCGCTGGGAGCAGTTTGTACAGAGACAGAGGTATGGATTGATGAGAAATATTTTTGATTAAAATCTTACGACGTTAAAACAGCCACTGTTCCAAAACACCTGTGTTGTTGTGAGCAATCACATCTTTTAACATTCTGTGGCTGATGACATGCAAATTTAAGAAGGTTTTAAAATACTCTTATGGCATCTCAGCATGTAACTTTAGGATATGGTAAGATATGCATACATTTCTTAGATGTCTATTTTTTTTTCACAAATTTGAAAATAATATACAGAAATTAGTCTATATGTACTTAATATTTATTGTAATATTACATGAGTTCTGATAACATATTAGACAAAATAATTATAACTGCATCTGTAAATCTTTTCAGTTGTCTATGTTTTTGAGAGCTTGCCAGTCCTACACGCAGCATTACCTTTACTCCCTGGCACAATTGCCACAAGTGTTTCCTCCAGACACTGCGCACTTTGAACAACTGGCAGCCCAGCTCAGGTAAGACAGCTAAAAATGCAAAATCTCAAAGACTTATCTTAAAAGACTTCACTATTATTTCATCTTGATGTGATAATTATATTTTTATCACAACTTTTTTATGTATCAAGATCAGAATAATCTATAATATGTTTTACATCATGTAAAGTTCAAATAAAAAAATAAAAGAAAGTGTTGTAAAATTATATGTATTGTTTGCCTTTTCAGTTTAATACTGAGACTCATCCATTTAAAAATTGACAGCAGTGGATCTGCCTTTGCACCACTGAAAGATCGTATCCATGCACAAATACAGGTTGGTGAGCAGACATTGCAATATTTCTTTTACAAAATTAGTAATAATATTTTTTTACTTTCTTTGTGATTATAAATCTTAAATGGATAAAATACAATAACTTATCTACAGATCAATGACTGTGAAGTTCTGTAACTTGAACCTGACTTCATATTTTAGTCTGATGTCAATACTTGGATCGAGGCGAAAGCAGATGAAATCAGGTCTGATCAGATTGATAGTGTAATACCAGAGACAGCAGGTCTGGTTGAACTCATAGATGAGGCTTGCATCTTGTCAACTCCTACAACAGCTCACAAAGAGTTTTTTCTCAGTATGGGCATTGACTATTTCAAGCATGTGTCCCTGGCAATGGATAGAATTGTAAGTTTGTGTGTCTGCTGATTTTTTTCGTAATCAACATTTGATTAAAATTTATTTTCAGTTCAAAGTGATTTGATAAGATTTTATGTCTTTCTTAGAATTATTTAAAACTTTTACAAAAAAAAATTACTTAAATTTACTCAATGAATATTGGAAACATGTTTCTAATGAAATTAATTTTCTCTTCAGTTTTCCTGTAAGGCACAAGCATTGATGCTACAGATGAATAAGTATTTATTTCGATACCAAAAGTTTCCAGACAATGTGAACAGGGCCAGCAAGATATCCCTCAAGTTGTATCTGCACCTGAAAAAACTACATGAGTCAGTGAAAAGCAACTGCAGTAGCAGGTAATGGCAAAAAAAATTAACAGTTCTGTACAAATTCTTTCAGCTGTTCACTGAGACTTGGAAAAATATTTTTATTTTATTTTTCCTAGTTATAAGAACTAGTCATACTTCTTGAAAAAAATAAGTGAAGGTAAAAATTGTATGATATACTTCATGGACAGACGTTCTCAGAGTTTGTGATGGTGTTTTTTTAATGTGCACAACATAATTATGCTAATCATTTTCCTCTTATTCAAACATTTCTCATTCCAGAGATCTTTTCAAGATGTCATTGAGGGACTATACTGAATGGTTCAAGGATGCTGTGATATTTTGGTTGCAGACATTTAAAATTGAGTGTGACAAAAGAATAGAAAAATCTCTGGAAATAGACAGAGATGTAAGTTAGGAATGGATTTGGTTGTAGTTTTATAATAACTCCTTTATGCAATTACAAAGCTCCTTTCTGTACGTTTTAAAATATTTTAAAGATAAAAAGGATGCATAATTATTACATTAAGAAACTCCTACCCATTTCAATTTATCATATACATGCCACTGAGATCATAATTGAAAAATACTAATTTCTAAATTTTTGTTATATTTCAGTTTGTCCCTGTTACATCTCTTGTGAAATATTCCAACTCTTCAGTGGATGTGCTCTCTTGTTTTGCAAAGGTAAACCAATATCACTTGTAGACATCAAATCATCTTCCATCAAAGAAGATACAGTTAATGTTTTTACTCTTAGCCAACCCAATGATTACACAGTTTGATTTTACTGCTTTAAAGGTGTCATAGGTGATAACTTCATTATTTTATCAAGTTAATTTTATTTTGTCAAAGGTTACACAAAAATCTCTCTATACACATTATGGCAAAAACACAGTGCTATGAGAAGAATTTCATGTAGTTCAGTCAGCGCAGACTTTAATGGTCCCGTTGTTTGCTTCTTAGATTACTGCAGAGTGGAACCAAATATGTTTTGGCGATGCAGATTCCTTTGTGATGGGAGTGACAAAGATCACAGATGTAAGTAACAGATACGTATGGGTGGTGTATTTGATATGCACAAGTGTGTGTGTGTGTGGGGGGGGGGGGGGGCAGGAAGCATAGAGTGTATATCACATACACCTTGCTGAGTAGTAGTGTTTCTGACCTATATCTAGCAGATGGCAGGAACAAAGGGCCCTGATGTGATGTAACTCGCATTCATGCTTGAGGTATGTGTATCCCAGATACCTTGCATCCTGTTCTTTTGTTCTCATCATCCACCATGGTAAATAAGTTGGCTAAGGTTACTAGTTGTTTTTGTTAGAAGTACTGTTAGAAAAAACTTATGACACAAAAATATAATGCTGTCTTAAAAGGTGAAATAGTAAAAAGGACCAATGTTTTATGAGTTTAAGGTTTGCTTGTTTATGAGGTAGATAAAAAAGATCATTTTATAATTTTCAAAAATAAAAAAAAAACACAATAAGGCTGATAACATGAAGAATGGCTTCCTACTGGAATAAAAACATTGTGCTGACAAGGAGCACAAAGGTCTGGGACATAAACATCATCATCCATTGTGTTCTTACATCACTTTGTCTCTATTTATCATTATGATTGTACAAAATAATCATAAAATTTACAAATTAAAATCTATTCATGAAGTGTTTTTTTATTTAGACAATTTGTGATGGAGCCAGAAGATATGCTGATAAAATAAGCTGCATATTAGAGAGAAATGGTTATTATGACAAAGACAGAGAGGCATTTGATATTACAGATCAGGTAATTAAAGCAAAAGCTTTCTGTCTCTTGTACAAAATTCGAAAATCAGTCATGCTTGTATAAATGACCACAATATTGTTTTAAAACTTTTTAAAACGTACAATAACATAAACTATGTAGTAACTCCATAGTTAGTCTCAGCAGTGGCCTGATGGTTGCCAGCTGGTCCTCTACATGTTCACTGAAGAGGATGGGATTCATAATAAATAAAGAGATAATTTTTTTACCTAGTTACATTTTATATCTCAATTTAACACATTTTGATTGTTTTGTTCTTTATTACAGCTTTGCATCACTCTCAATAACATAGAGCATGTAAGGCAGTACTTGAAGGAACTTCCTGCGTTACTGCGCTGGACAGAGGTTGTGGAGGCTGTCTCACTAAAACATGAGTCTGACTCTATTGGCAGAAAAACTGAGCGCACACTTCATCGGTATGTCCAACGGTATCTTATTTTTTAAATTATGATGTTTTACAACATACAAATACACTAGCTTGAGCTTCAGACCCACAGTAGTCCAGTTTCTTTACTTTCAAATTTCCACGTATGTTATCTGATTAGCTTGGAGATTTGAAAATGAAAAAGCTGGAACACATCGACTTTGAAACTCTGGATATATCACATAAACGTAATATGACCAATGGTTCTCAACAAAGGAAAAATCTAAACTTTATGTATTTATTATCACTGACTTTACATATTTGTGATTTTGATTACAGGCTAAGGAAAACAGCAAGCAGTGACTTGCTGATGAAAAGTGACCAGTTATTACAGAAGATAGCCGAGCGAATGAGTTCAGATATCAGACGCCATATTGCTGTATTCACAAACGTTCCCACTACAGAGACTGACAAGAAAGGGAAAGAAAAGCCACATAGTGGTGTAAGTTGCACTAAGAGAAAAATAACGAAAGAAAATTTTAAAAAGACAAAGATATTGATTATGTAGAATCAGAACTCTATAACCAAGCTTGCATCCTGGTAATTCATTCCAAACACTAGAAGCATAAAATATCCACGTAAAAGTATCTTTCAGTGTCAAATTCAATTTCCCCAAGATACCACTGTGGTAAACCAGGTGATAGTTATCGATTCTATATAATTGCGCAAAACAATACCATTCATGATTTTCTTTTTTTGTATCCTATCCAGCATGCTACGGACTCTCTCCTCCTGTACATCGACAGTAACTTACAGACTCTGTATGAACGCCTTTTGTCATCAGTATACCCTCACATAATGGCGGCTATATGGAAGGTCATAGTGCGCTGCATTGATGAGGACTTGCTGAATGGGGTGAGATTTTATGACTTATTATCTATACATTGGGGTCTAAATGAAGCTCCCTTTTTTGTCTGTGTTCCTAAAGTTTTTAGTTTAATAATTTATTTGACTGTTTTGGCCCTTTTTGTCTAGCATTTCAAGTGATATTGGTATCTCAGCAAAAAATTATAATAGTAATGACAATGGTATCAAAAATTGATAAATAAATTTTATAAATGTGTTAAATACAATATAGCAGAGTAAGTAACTACAGTATTTATATATGAATTCGTATTTACAAACTGGCATGCATATTTCTCTATTATTTTGAAAGAAAAAATTAAAACTTTACTTCAATTGATTAATTAATGCTTTTCTTTTATTTTAGCAACACCCAGATTATTATACCCAAATTCAAAAGGTCAGTCTTTCTCTCTTATATATATATATATAAGATTAAATCATTTTATGAAAGTCAGGAAAAATTCTAGTCCATTGGCTAAAACAGAAAGTAGTTTATCTTCGAGCATTACATACTCTCAGCTGTAATGTTTCTGTATCTATTTTTAATTTAACTTTTCACAAGTATCCTTTCAAAAACCCAATTAAATAGAATTCATACAAATGAACCATTTTATATTTCAGTATGTTGACATTCTTCACAGTTATTTCACCCAAAATGGAATGCAATATGTAGACATAGATGGTTGCTATGGCAACTTGAGAGATCGTCTGCAGCTGAACTCCTGCTCTACTGAGGAGATTATACTGCAGCACTTTCAATCTTTGGCAGATGATGTGGTGAGTTCTGCTGGACAGGACACATTTTTTTCATAAAATGGAAAAAGTAACAGAAGCACATATATTTTATCTTATCAACCCGTGAGTTAATATTTTTAGAGTTAATTACCTATCAGAAATTTACATAAATTAAGTGTGATTTTCTTAAAATACAATGGATCTTGGATTCAATTGCAATTTGAATCGTAATTTAGGAAGGCAACTAATTTATCCCAATTACTTTGGTATCAGAGCACTCCTGTCTTTGAATCTTATGGTCAAGTAGCCATGAAGGTGGGATATATGGAGGAGACACATGGGGTGGTCACACTGTTTGTCAAAGGTACAGCATTTTTCTCTTTAACCAAAAAAATTTAAATATCAATATAGCAGATAGGGCTAATTTTTAAAAGATTAAAATTGTATTTTAAAGCAAATATTTAAGGTGAATAATGTAAAGTGAAATGCTACATTTTTTTCTAAATAAAAAGGAACAATATTTTTTTAACAATTGATTGATAACTGTATGGATGCAATTAGATTACTGATACGTTAATGTGGCCTAAATGACGGCGTTCTGTTAAATGGACATCTGCTAAAAAGCAACTTGTGTTTCCAATGGAGTTGACACAGAAATTAAGTTGACATAATGTCTTTCCAGTAATAAGTTGCACAAACTTGCCTGGTTTGGACAGAAGTGGACTAAGTGACCCCTATGTAGCTCTAGATCTCCAACCAAGAACATTGTTCCCAGAGGTGAAAACCCAGAAAACACGGGTAGTGATGGCTAATCTCAACCCAGTTTACAATGAAATATTTGTATTGTAAGTATTTAATTTTATCATGCCTTTTCAGTAAAAAAATATCGTAAAAATGGTTGTTATTAAGATGAAAATTTTTTCACGTGGTTTTCTCACTCTTAGTGAATAAAATAAATTTTACTTGCTATAGAGAAAGGAGTAACTTGGCATCTTCAAACAGGACCTATATGAATCCAATAACATGGAC